GTGCTGCAGACGTTGGAAAATAGTCTTTTCTAGAGAAACCAGTTCCCAGAACAAGGTGGCACCCAGGAACTGAGCGCCAATGCACTGACTAGCTGGGAAAACATCCTTTTTTGCATGCTGATATGTAGCTATTTCCTGGCCAAAAGCACTAAAGACTTCAGCTGTAACTCCAGGAGGAGATGAATGAACCCACTCGAAAAGCAGCTATTGCCCCAAATTTCAGAGATGCCTGATTGAAAATGGGAAGTTCCCACAAAAAGCTACTGTGACAGAGCTGAGAATCCCCAATACACTCCAGAAGATGGAGCAGCAATTCCCTCTCCCTTCTGTCCTGCTCCTCCTGCTCTTGAGAGATGCTGCTGATCAAGAGAGCAGACAGGCCAGGTGGCAGCACCAGCTGAGACACAGGAGAGCTCCGTGGCTTTGCACCACTTGAGAGCCCTCACCTGTACGTTTGGGACATATGCAGGGGGCGGAGCAGATACTTGGGGAGTCACAGTAATCCACTTGCTTTGAATCATCTGTGATGAGCATTTTCGTCTTGTGTCTTGCAGGTTCAGCTGGAGAGCCTGGCTTCCCAGGTAAATTATGCTGTCCTGAATTTATCATATGAGCTGGTTTAGTTAAAATTCTACTCTGCTGTTCAGGAACAACACACCAGGTGGAGCAACTATAGAGAAATAAAGCCCCCCACATACACTGGATGGGGCTGTTTGGTGGCAGTTGTGCCCCACTGTAGGCTCAGCCCTGGCCCAGATGGTGTAAGCAGGTCCTCTCCCAAACCAGCTCTTCGGCAACAGGGGCTAACCCCAGCTCCCCATGCTGCTGCACAGCGCCATCATCTGCAGAAACCACAGGGCTTCCCATACCCCAGCCTGAGGGACCAGCCAGATTTGTGCAGACCTCTGACCTTCCTGTGCTATGGCAAAAGGCAGAGGTTCAGATGAAACTTGGTCACTGCCAGTGCCAGGGGAACATGTCTTTCTACCAGCACTAGCAAAAGGGTAGAGAGAAAACAAAGCTTTTCCCTGATGCCATCATCCCACATACAAGGGCCGCTGGCACCCATCAGTGGGCACTGGCTGCACTGAGGCTGCCCTCACTGGAATTTGGCTTGTAATAGTTGGGCACCAAGCACTGCTGATCTGGTGGCTCATTCAGCACATTTGCTCCAGCTGTCTCAGCTGCTCCCAAGCCATTGGCTCTGCCATCAGCAAATATTCCCCTCTTGGGGCTTTGACCCTGCCTTCACACAGGTGTGTTTCATCCTTCCCACACCCATCTGCTCCTGTCCCAGCCCAATGGGACTCACTGGCACGAAGTGTTGATACCCAACTCCATGGGCTGGCCAGCAGCAGGCAGAGCAAGCAGGTTCAATGGAGACATGTCTTGTGTCAGTCTTGCCATTTGGATCTCTCAGCCCCAGATCAGATGTCAGGGGAAAATATATCATGCTGGGTCCAAAAGTCTGAGAGGCAAGGCTGCTGCTCCTTGTGCATCTATAATGTGTGCCAACCTCCTGGTAGCCACCCTGTGTGCCTGTTGGGTGACCTGAAGAGTTGCTCCCAGTGACTGAGGGTGCTGGGTATCACCACTGTAATAACAGGACTCTGTGACTTGGGTTCCCACCTGCCATTGTCCTTCTGTGCTCTCCTTGGTCTGTGCAAATGGGCCTATGATGGGCTGGTGGGTCTTCTCTGATGGGCCCAGGAGCAGATGGGACAGAACTGTTACTGAATTACTCGTCCTGCCTGGTTTCTCTGTGCACCTGTTGTGTGCACAGATGAGTTAAACCCTTCTTGTAACATCACAGCTCTCTACCGGTGCAGCAGGATTTGTCTTGAAAAGCAAACAATGCCAAGTGCTGGAGGAGGGGAGGACAGGGTGTGGAAGGTGAAGAGCAATTGATTGGTGTCGTGTGTTCAACAGGAATGAAAGGAGAATCTGGATTTCCAGAAACCGGGGGTAAGTTTCATTCTGAGACGCTTCACACCACTGTTGGCTTTCCAGAGCAGATGGGGGTGGAATCCCTGCACCAGAAGTCAGGATAGTGCAGCAATAGTGACACTGAAGGACAGAGTAAGGAAATACCACTGTTAATCCATTTGCTTTGACAGCCATATGCAGCTTCTGTGTGTCTACTCTGTAATCCAGCCGGGCCAGAAAAGTCCTGTCCTCTGAGCCTGCCTTCTGTGTGTCTCAGGCATCTGTCAGGTCTTGAGAGCCTCTGTGTCCTGGTTTCCAAGATGAAACCACTAGAAACAGCTCTACCGACATACTGCCACTTCAAAGGCAGTTATACCAACACTCGAGGGCATCAGAGCTGCTGTAACACCAGATGCCACTGAATTGGCCCTTTGCTGCCCCAGACACTCCTCTGCCCTTTTATGTTTCCTGGGCATGCAAAAATATTTCACTAATAAGGAACAGGCCAAGTCCAGCACCATCCCTCCCTTAGGAAGGACACCATGCCCACAAGACAGCCTGGTACAGCTCTGCATTCGTTCATCAAACAGCACACTCAGACACTCACTCCACCACCACCACTGTCTCAGGTTATCTCCCAAGGCTTTCCCCTATGAAAGCCACAGAGGCAACTGGAAGCTGGGATGCCTGAAAAAGACCATTCCAGTCAATCCTTTGGCAGCTGTGAATCTGAGTTTCTATCATCACGTGTGGGTTTGGGGAGGAAGAATAAATTTGTACATAATATATATATGTATATATTCAAAAGTGACATCTGTCCAACCTGAACAGTTATCTCTATTACAGGTAGGTGTTTTTCTGTGTCACCACTCCTTTGCTGCTAATTACCCAAACACTCCCTGTGCCCCCACCCCCCATACATTCCTGAGCCTGGGCAAATTCCTGGATCATGAGTTTGTCATCCTGCTCAGAGCAGCTCCATCACCCAGGCCTCCAAAAGAGTCACTGCAGATGAGAGGAGTCTGAGCACCTTAGGCCATGTCTTAGAATGTGCCCATCTCCACTATGACATACAGACTCAGAAGTTGCAATGGGGGTTTGGCTCCCAGCACATGTGTGCCAGAGTCCTGCAGTGCAAAGAGCCAGCTAGGAGGTTGAAGGGCTCAAAGCCTCAGGCTTAGGGCATGAGGCTGATGTGCTCCCTGGATGCAGTGAACCCATTGTAACTCTTTCCACTCAGTCTCACCAGTAACGGCCAAGAGCTGTTGGGTAGAGGCAAGATCCTGAGCGGCTGGTACACCGTCTATACCCAAGGCTGCAACGCCACCACCGTCTTCTGTGACTTGGACACTGATGGTGGAGGGTGGATTGTGAGTAGGATGAGGACAGGCATGTTTCTATGTTCCTACAGAGGTTTTTATTAAGGCTGCAAAGGATGGCACAGAAATAGAAACAAAATGGGAGGAAAACACACACTGAAGGGACCAGCTAAGGTTCATGCCAGCAAGCCTGGGTGAATTCCTGTGGATGTAGGGGATTCTCCCAGGAGATGTCTCCGGGAGCAGGCTGAGTACAACAGACCCATGCCCTGCTTAAATCAGAAAATAATTTCCTCCTCAGTTCAAAGGGCACATGGAGGAGGTCTGTGAATGAGAGATTCCTCTGGAGTTTGGTCCCCAGAGACCTGTGGGAGTGCCCTGACACAGGTGGAGCATTTGCTGGGCTATCTGGGTGCTGAGAATGCTTTTGGGTGTGGGTGGCAGGCCTGTGGTTCTCCTTTCCTTCATGTTTTCCAGAGGCGCTGGGATGGGTCAGCGAACTTCTTGCGAGATTGGGATTCATACAAACGAGGCTTTGGCAACCAGCTGACCGAGTTCTGGCTGGGGAATGACAACATCCACTTCCTCACCTCGCTGGGTAAGGTCTGTCTCCGTCCTGGACTGGGGCCCTCAGAGTCCAACCCCAGAGTCCTTGGTCATTAAAGGACTCTGAACTTCCTGCATCTATCGGAGGCCCCAATAGTTAATCCTAAACAGCACGCAGGCCCTTGCAGCCCATAGTACACAGGAAATAGCATTCTAAAAAAACCCAAAACTATAAGCCAGGGAAGAGAATGAGCTGGTTACATGACCTATCCCAGAGATAGGCCAAAACATCTTCCTACTAGGACTGGTTGTGATGGCAGTCATCTTGTTCACACACAGCCTTGGAGTCACAGCTATGTACGGGAGTTCTGTGTGTGTAGCTCTCAGTGCCCATGACCACCCAACATCAGATCAGAAAAGGTGCTTCACAAGAAAGCCATCAATGCTTCTGCAGGAATTTCAAATAAATCATGATCTTGTGAGACAGTAGTAGAAGCTCCTCTTAAGTTCATAGAATCATAGAATCAAGTGGGTTGGAAAAGACCTTTAAGATCACCAAGTCCGACTGTTCCCCAGCACTGCCAAGGCCACCACTAATCCATGGCACTAAGGGCCTTGTCTACACGGTTTGCGAACACTTCCAAGGACAGTGACTCCAGCACTGCCCTGGGCAGCCTGTTCCAATGCCTGAGCACCCTTTCAGGGAGGAAGTTTTCCGTAATATCCACTCTAATCCTTCCCTGGTGCAGCTTGAAGCCATTTCCTCTTGTCCTATCACTTCCTATTGGGAGAAGAGACTAGCCACCTCCTGGCTCTATCCTCCTGTCAGGTACTTGTAGAGAGATACAACTCTCTTAAGTTAGCTCAGAGCTTCTTAAACCCTTCACCCTGAAATCCAGGTGTGTGGTCACCAATGAGCCCCGCACCACTGCTGTACACTTTCTCTTCTAGGACTCTCTGAACTCCGCATTGACCTGAGAGACTTTGAAAACAACTACTATTTTGCCAGGTACGCTTCATTCAGAGTTTTAGGAGAGTCTGAGAAATATAAACGGGTTCTAGGAGATTTCCTTGGTGGAAACGCTGCTAAGTCAGCAGTAGCTCACTGGGAAAGGCTGTTTTCTACATCATTTCAGAAGTGTTCAGCATTTATAGTGCAGAGGTGTATTGTATGAACTCCTTGCACCATCTACATTTTGGGTCAATCTTCAAAATTGGCTGTGGTACTTCAGGTGCTGAGTGGCCTTTGTGTGAGGGAAGGACAGGGACCCCCCTCACACACAGGAGTGTGACCTACAGGCCCAGCCACATGGTTTAGCAGCAAATGTGGAGCCTGCTCCTGAGCAGCACCTCATCCAATGTAACCTTCCAAAAGCTCTGCAGCAGCTGGGCCAAGTTCTCCTTTCAGTTCTATTGAAAGGAAATATTTGCACACAAGGTTTGGCATTTCCAGGGCTGGGGTGCTGTTAGCATCCCAGTGCATCAGCACTGCATCCTCTTAATGCCTGATGCTCTGTTTTGCTTTAAAAAGCAAATAAATCCTTGCTAAAATTCAATACCCCTCATGCAGGAACAAGTGAAACCAAAACCTGAGACAGCAATGTCCTGGGTTTACATGGCTTTGTACACTGCAACTCTGCCTGATAATCCAGACCTTAGTATGTCTGCAGAGAATCTGAGCAAGAGAAGTGAGCTGAGTGCAAGAGAAGTGACTCCCGTGTAACCGTGACAAGAACCTGGTCCATTTGATTCAGAAGCATAGATACGTTCTCTGTGCTTCAGCAGTCCTGGAAGAGCTCAGGATGGTCTGTTTCTCCAGGACCAAGAAGGAAACCTGGGCAACCAAGAGAATAGCAGGATTTATAAAATCTGCCTTGCATCCAGCAAGGCCCACTGATGCCCTGCAGTGGTGCTCAGACATGTCAGGTTTTGTGCTCTCTACTACAGTAACTGTGAATTTGTGCTCTCTGCAGGAGACTCTTTATCATACCATAAGAACATGCCATTTTCAACAACAGACAAGGACAATGACATGAGCTCCTTTAACTGTGCCACAGAATACAAGGGAGCATGGTGGTACAATGACTGCCATTACTCTAACCTGAATGGGATGTACTGGTTGGGTGTTCACGGAAGCTATGCTGATGGCATAAACTGGAAGACAGGCAAAGAATACCACTACTCCCATAAGCGAACGGAAATGAAATTCAGGCCAGTTTAACATTGCAAGAGAATGTCTGACAACCACCACCAGGCGCCATTCAACAGCCTAGAGTAGACACAAAACTAAGTTGTTTGAGGGCAAAATTGGACCAGGATGGATATTACAAGTTGTGCCTTTGGGCTAGAGCAGACTTCTAGAGACCACAAGATATTGGTGCTGATTTGAGCTCCTGTAAGCACCAGATTCTCACCCTGGACTATCTCCAGCAGTCCCACAAATGCTGACTGAGCCTGAGCATCTTTTTCTGAAAAGCGCATTACCTTGATTTAAACTGATGGTGAGGCTACTGCATCTCAGTAAAGCTTTCATATATTACCCTAAATGGTGATTACTGGTAATTTTCAGTCTTTCCACATATATGAAGCCTCCAATGGTCTTGCAGCCTGCTTTTCTGTTAGACCCAAGAGCCATCTGAAAGGCACTGAATACCTGACAGCCCACCGCTCTCTCCCTGCAGGCTGTGACAGAGCCACGACGTAAACCAGCATGGAAAGAACTGAGCTTCCAGCACAGGGCTGTCAGCACTGCCACCTGCTTCCTTCCCTCCCTACTGCCTCACACAGTCCGTGCTCCAGGACCTCAGGCTGGACCTCAGCTCCTGGAACCAGAGGAGTGTTGCCCAGCACTTCCCACCATGACACAACTGCAGCCACTTCCTCCAAGGCACATTTCTAGATCTCGATCTTTAGCCACTGTGGACCAAGAACTGGATACAGAACAGTCTGTGCAGCAACATTTTTGGTACCAAGACACTACATTAGTCCCAGGTCAAGCCTTGCACAAGTGAACGTCATGTAAATTGCCGAGAGGTGCCAGTATCTTCCATTTCACCTTGTTTCCAGTGGCATTTGAAGATAGGCTATCTGGTGGCAGATGGAGGCAGTTCATACAGTTACTGTGATGTTGTATTTGACTGTTAGCAGAACTGGTTAAAGGGGCTCTTCTTCCTGGGCTCCTCCTCCATAGCGGGGGAGAGCCTGGTGCTATCTCCTCCCTGCAGTGACAGACCAGAGTCAGTGGAAGCAGAGTATTTATTTGTGTATGTTCCTAATGGTCCCAGGTTTACCACACTACTTAGTGCATAGATGTGTAGCAAGGGCAGCTACACCCCTACAATACTGAATCCAAACTTTGTGGGTAAGAAAAGCAAAGAGGCCACTCATCAAGCACACCAGAGCCAGTCAATGATGTGCTAAGAAACAAACCTGAGGCTTTGCACCTCCCTATTCACTAGGTCCTGTCCCTGCTTACTTCTCCTTTTCAGGCACATGAGAAGTCTGAGCAGAGAAGCACACACTGAAAGCCCATAGACACTTCCCCATCTCCAGGAGCTGTGTTTTATTTTTCTGCTACTCCCAGCCAGTTTGACATGTCCTCAGCAGGAGCAGCAGCAGGTCTCAAGCATCCAGTTGTGCCTCACCCAATCAGCCACTGATGTTGTTGTCTCAGAGATGCCCAAGGTGCTGTCACAGTTCTGCAGAACCACAGACTCCTCTGTAGAGATGTAAGAGCTGCTGCCAACAGTCAGCTTTAACGCAGCTAAAAGTGCTGAATCCCCTTTCTCTGCTCCCCTCTACCTTCTCCTACTACTACACAGAAACTTTCAGTATTTAAATTTCAGCTGTGAAGGACACCGATGTTGGAGGGATTAAAAGAACACCAAGAAGAGTTCATGCAAGCCCATCTAGTTGATATTCCCAGACTGCCACCCAACTCCATGGAGGAAATGTCCAGGTATGACAAGCCATCACCAGTGCTAGGTGAGGTGGTTTGGACTTGGCTGCAGAGTGAAATTCTCATGCATCCCCTAAGCTGGTTCAGTAAGCCATGGGTTGGCACCACATCCCAAACCACTTCAAGGCAGGAAAATACTCCCTATGCTGATACAGCTATGTGGGGGAGAGGGTCTTTGGGCTTGATGGTCCATTTCAGGCACCATGCCTGCAGCAGTCAGAGAGCGTTTGTGACTCCAGCCAGGAAGAATTGAACCACTAAGATCAGGATCCAGTTCCCTGGGTACATACACATACACATGCCGCCAGCCTGCCGCTCTCACCTCTCCCCAGGAAGGGTTCACACTCCCCCAGTCAGCTTTCACATCTAACCAATGTGGGAAGAGGCAAGGAACACACCTGAGATGTCCTAAAGTAATATGTTCCCCAAACTGTCAGGATACCATCCAGTCCCTCTTGCTTTCCATTCTCTTGCCAAGGGTCCCCAGAAGAAAACCAAGAATAGCCCCAGTCAACCTGTGACTGATCCCAGCCACTGCTCCTCTCAAGGCTTTTTTTCTGTGTTCTGGAAAGCTCATTTCTGTGTTTGAAATTTTGTGTTTAGAAACCCTCTCCTGCTCATTAGTGGATCCGGAAAGGGCCAACCCTGAAGCCTAGAAATTACAATGTCCCTGGAGCTTCTCCAGACGTTTGCCTTGCTGCAAATAATGACAAGTGAGGCTGGGGGAGTCACCAGCAGAGCAGGTGGGCCAGGCTATGTGGTGTGTGGAGAGGACATGGTTTCTGCCATATCAAGGAGCAGGACACATGATGAGAGGCTGGAAGCATCTCTGATGGCTCATTGACGCACAGCCATCTGGAAGCAAAAGCAGGGCCAAACTAGTTCTCTTAGGTGCCACCAAGTCCAGCCTCCTGGCCAGATCAAAGCTGCCTCCAGCAATGCCCTCCTGCATTGCCTGGGACGTGGGAAGACTCAGGAGTCTGAACCACTCACGTGATTGCTGGCAGCCTCCAAGGGCTGCAATAAAGCTCTTTCCAAGGAGAAACACAGGACTTTGGCCATGTGCAAGTGCCCAGAGGTTTCACAGCTGTAAATCTGAAATCTGATTGATTCCAAGAAACTGGACTTTGGAACGAAAGGTCTTCTTCCTACCTAACACCAATGAGAGGAGCTCAGAGAACTGAGCTTCAGCACTGCTCTATGCTTTGTGTTTGGAAGCACCACACCTTGTGGTTCTGGCATTGTGAATAACTTCCTCAGATTTTCTGAGGTGTCCTTGTGAGAGCATTGCACCTGAAGAGTAACTAAAGCCACGTGTGAGCCAGCATGAAGCAAGCTGCAGCTGGGGAAGGGAAATCATTTCACTGTGTTTGGTCCTTTTGGCTTATGGGCTGCTGGGGTGGGAAACATGAATCGTACATCCTTTGCACTGTGTTTGTGCTCCTGCTGTTACCTTGTGCCCACCCAAATGAAGTGAAGGGGTGACTTAAGACATCAACTGACCCTGCCACAAACCAAGATACAATGGACTCAAAATACCACTCTGCCATGGCTAATGCTCTTCTGTAAGTTACTTCAATTAAAGGTTTATTATGCCAGGCTGATGGAGCACAAAGCTGTTCATTTAGTTGTGTTTGGTGCCTATGCTTGGAAACACGGCATTTCGGCAGCACCACTCAGCAGACCCAGGATGCTTAAACACAGCAGCCAGGGCTGATGTAGAAAAGACCCACTAGAATTTATTCCCAAATGGCATTTATAAAAACAAACAAAGACACAATGGAGGATGCAGGAACGCATGGCCCATGGGCACAGCATGGCCAAGTCCATGCCATCAGCCACCTGCACAGCAAGCGGACAACAGAGAGAAGAGGCAGAGGAGGCAGCTCCTGGTCTGGTCCAGCAAAGAGGAGCCTGCTGCACCACCCCATAACGTCCACCCACCATTGCAGTTACTTCAGTTCAGCGCCAGGATTCCAAGACATGGAATTCAACCACTGACCTGGCCTTTGCATTAGACTGGCGTGGAGAAGTCAGGCCCTGCATTCCCAGCACAGGGGCTTGTACCTGGACGGCATCTCAGCAAGGCTTCCCATGCTCACCTCTCACCAGTGAAGAGAAACTCCTGGCCCATGAAATGCACTAGACAAGTTCCCAGACCACTTCCGTTCTCTGCAGGCTCCCCAGTTGGTTTTTCTAGTCCACATGGTGCCTGCAGACAGTCTCAGTCCCACCTGCTCCTGCAGCAGGTACCAAAGGTCCTTCTAGCACGGACCTGATGTCCTTCAGTCACCTATGATCCAGCATATGTCCCATCATGAGACTGGGTGGGGCACATAGCAAACCCAGAAGAAACACAGTCCATACAGCTCAGACTGTGCTGGCTAATGCTGCGTGTGCTCTGTGCAGAAATTATCCACGCACACCCCTCAAGGTTTAATTCTTGAGCAAGCTTCTTACCCCCAAGCAGATAAATAAAACCAAAACATCTTCCTTCATGCCACAGCACCACCAAAGTACACACAACTCCACATACCTCTTCTACTATGTCCCAGTCCCACAGTTGTCTCTCTGCAGGACCAGAGTCAGACATACGGCTAGAGGAAGGATGAACCCAGTCTGTGGTAGGCCACCACCAGCACCAAGCCTTGCTGGTCCTGGGAATGGGGTGGCCAGCAGAGGAGCAGCCTTGCAGGGAGACAAGACGCCTTCACCCCATAAGAGGCCATCTGAGGGATCGGTATGTTGAGAGATCTTCCTTTAGTCCACTTTTGTAGGGGAGGGCAGAGGAAGAATAGACTCCAGCTTGGCAGAGCAGACAGCATAGGGAAGGCTGAGGAAAGGCTTTGTGAGAGCAATGCATCTAGCCAGGGACTGAGCCAAGGTGGACAGCTGTCCTTCATCTATAGTGGCCTTTGGAAAAGGCTTTGTATCCTTAATGTTTCGGTTGTTAGGACATACTGTTAAGATTCCTCAGTCTCAAGCCTACCCCTGTAAGAAAAAGTGCCCAGGGGAGCCTGGGAAGCCTTGGAAGGTTGCAGTTAGCTCCTCAGGTCCATCTCCTGGTAGTCAAATATATATCCCGTGACTTTCGTCCAACACATTGCAGTGATGCTGGTGGTGACTGCCTCTCAGTGAAGACACACACATGTATCAGTGCAGTTTGCACTGCTGCTGCAGTCCACTTCACTCCACTGGTCTGAAGTCACCAAAGTGGTGCAATTCAAAAAGTGGCTCCCTCCTCCAGGTTGAAAAGCTTCTATTATTTTCAGTCTTCTATTTCTCAAGGCTTTGCTTCCCCCACACTGGCAGTATCCAGCCGAGATGAAAGTATTTACTGGGCAGTTTAGTGTTGAGCAGGAGGTTTCTTGTGCAAGTAAGTCAGTATCCTGCAAAAGCGCAATGGCACCTTTGGGGAATGAGGAGCTGCAGATGCCCCCAGGAGCCCCCTGGCTGACGTGGTGACCCTGGTGCTATTGAGTGTGTTTCATGACAGCTTACAATTCCTTATGATCCCTGTTAAAAATGCACCATGCTCCTCCACCAGGTCTCTGTCCCAGCACACCATTGACACTCCCTTATGCAGGCACCACGGCACAGAGATGTTAGATATATATGATACTAAATCCAGCTCCAAGAGCTTGAGATGAGGCCCCCAGGCAAGTGTACCATTATGCTGGGAGAAAGCCCAGTCGGCTACACACTGCATGAATACTTTTTGGTAGACAGATGAATGATCATTGCTCCAAGAGCTTACAGTCTACAAGAACAGAGCCACAGCTCCACCACTATACAGACATTAGACCTATTTACACCCACAAACATTTTGGTCCCAGCAGAACATGTCTTTCAGACCAATGGCCCAGCAATCAGCTGACCTGGGGGCAGGGACTTGATTGCTCACCCCCTTCTTTTAATTTGTAATATCAGATCATTTCTAGCTGTTATTCTTTCCACCTCTGCTTGGGGTTCACAGCCCTAGCACCATCCTCTGACCCATAGAAGAAAACATGGTCTCAATACAAAGTCATTCCCTGCCTGCCTGAGCCCTGGTGCCTGTGGGGGTGTCCCACATTGCCAAGGAGGCAGAGAAATTGGTGAGATGCTGACTGATGATGTACCCAGCTCTCCCCCATTATGCCTCACAAGCTGTTGGCAATTAGCTCTTTGCAGCGGGACAAGGAGGAGGGAGGCAGAACCCTCCATTCTTGAGCCCCAGTCGAGGGCAGCCAGGAGAAATCCAGACTGCCATGTCTGACAAAGCTTTTCTGAGAGGAACATTAGTTGGTTAGTTGGTATCTTAATCAGGCACATCCTCCCCATCACCTTAGTTGGCACACTTTGACACCCCATGGGTGGCCCTGTCTGACTCTCCAAAACCTTGCCCAGAGCCTCCATGCCCAGGTGCACCCTGATCCAGGCAGAGACCTTACAGAGCATATCTGTCCTGCAAGGCTGTTGGGTGGGTGCTTTAAGGCTTTGAAATGTAAGGTGACTCCAAGCCTAACCAAGCACCCCAAAGCCCCTCTTCCTTCTCATGGCTAGACCCCAGCCCTCCAAGGCCATAGGGATGGAGAAGCGGAAGGCCCTGGGTCTGGGGGCCACAGGGAAGCAGGAGAGGATAATGTTTCTATCAGGGATCAGAAAACACCCTTAAGGGAATTCAGGTTCCTCCAGGATCATTTGCTTTTAACAAGCAAACAGACAAAGGCTGCTTGGTGTCCTAATTACATGTGTTAAAAACTTTAGCTAGGAAAAATACACCCTTGATAAGTCCCTTCTCCATTTTTAACCCTGTTTTCCACCCAAGAAATTAAAGACCAAGACTATGATTAAATAAACTCCAGCACATCATTTAGCTCTTCCCTTCCCACCTTTCTTCTTCAATCCTGAACACCCCCCATCCAAGGCAGTTAATTTACAGTTTGGGCAATTCTCTGCCAAGCCTCACAGGAGGCACGCAGCTCAGCCCAAAAGGGGGTTGTCCTTCCTAGGTTCCAGGCTCTCCACGACATCCTCCAACTCATCCAGGATTTCGGAGAATGATGGTCTCTTAAATGCTTCCACCTGGAATCAGAAGAGAAAGCTGAAGAGGGCACCCTGGAACAGAGGCAGCTGTTCTGCAGTAGCTCTCTTGGCTCCATCCATCCATTATCAGCACTGGTCTGGGTCACATGCCTGCTGATGGAGCTTTCTGTCACCACCACTTGGTGATTCAGGCCTGGGCTGCTGCAAAGAAGCAGCTGCAGGAAAGGTCCCATGATATGATACAGCTCAAGCAAAGGCAATGAGATGCTGAAAACCAGCCCAATGTAGAATCACAGAATAGTTCGGGTTGGAAGGGACTTTAAAGATCATTTAGTTCCAATACCCTGCCATACCCTGTCCTGGACAGGATGTGGGAAATGCCCACCCAAATAGCGTAGGGGCAGGTGTTGTGCAAGGAAATGCTGCAGGTAGGTATCAGAAGGGAGATGTGTCATTCCCTAAGTTTTTTTCACGGTCAGGATTTGCTTTGTCTCCCTGATCATCCATTCATCCTCAGTGGGCTGTGATCCCCCAGTGTATTTTGGGTGTACCCTAAATGAGGGACATGGCCAGGGACACCCCCATCCTGCACCCCGTCCAATGCTCCAAGGGCTGCCCTTTATGCCTGACACCATGGAGCCAGCCTGGTGCACCAGAAACTCCCCAAACCTGCACATCGCACAAGGGCAGAGAAGAACAGCCTCAAAGGCCATTTCTGGCAGAATCCCTTTATTATATCAACTTGCATTAGAAAGATGCCCTTCAGCGATACAAGATCTGAACACACGTATGTCTAAGCCAGCTCCTGACGTGAATCGTTCCTGTGATTCAGGGCAAGTTATTCACACATCCTCCAGCCCCATGCAAGGATTTATTTCCATTTGCTGCCTTGAGCTCAGAGCAGTTAGATGTATCACGATTACCCAGCTCCTCCACTCTCTGCCTGATTACTGCCTTTGTATTCTCTTTCTTTCACAGACGATTTTGGATCCTTGCTTTCTCTCTGCTTTGGACAGCATGGGGAGGCTTACACCATTAACCTTTCTGCTAAAGCAAGAAAGGTTGGAGAAATATGCTCTGATGGTATCTGTAATGCCAGGGCTGCTAATAGCAAGGCAGTACCCTCCAGAGAGGATCAGCTAGGTGCCTCTGCCTGCAGCCTGGCTTAGGGAGGGACTGAACATCACCAGCAACATGCTTCCCACTCTATGTTTGACATGCAAGGGAACAGGCAGGATCTTGAAATGTTCTGGGCTCTAATCCACAAACAATACACTTTTCCTAGCAGCAGACTTCAGAGTGGATTGAAGCATACTACTGGCCCAGGAAGATCTCATCACTTCACAGCTCACAGCAGAGCCCTGTGTGCTAGTACGGAGAACAGCAGGTTCAAGCTCTCCACAGTTCACAACAATTTTAGTCTCTGTAACACAAGTGTGATACAAAGCCAACAAAACCGGGGGGAGGGGAGGGGTGGGGGGGTGAGAAAAACAAACTAGCAAGAATCTCACCCAACAGCATCTAGCAGCAAGGTCCATCACCTGCTTGGGACATTCGCCGATCATCCCCTGGAAGGCAGCAACATCCAAGCCATAATCCTGTGAGGAAGGGGGAAGAGTAAGTACATAGGAAAGACTTCAGCTATAATGTCCTTTAAAAGCTCTTTATCCTTCTCAAAGTGCCAAAGCATAAAATGCTCATGGTTTAAACCTTTTAGAGTCTCTATCACAGCTACTTTACTTATGGCTATGCAAAGGTACCAGGACAACATCAGCTCTGGCAGGGCTGCACAGATAGTAAATCATTAGCAGACCTGGGAGACTGCAGCATCCTTTTGCTTGATCTGTGCTATCCCTGTCCAGGTAGTATGTGTCCTCCTGGAAAAGCTAAGACTAAGGCAACAAGAGCCACAAAAGGCAAAACCAGCAGAGGAACCAGCACCAGGTGCTGAGCAGTGGTTGCCAAGGACAGGAACAGAGTCAAAAGGGTCCAAGCAGTCCAGCAATCAGCAGTTTCCATAACTACAGCTTTGCCCCTCCAGACATCATTACTACGATATGTAATTCTCCTTCATCTTGTGAACACAGATGTAGCATTATTTGCTGTTCAGTCTCACAGAAACATGGAATAATCTCTGGTCACTGCAGGCTCTTTGCATTGCTCCTTGGAAAGCAGCAGTTTGCTGTTTTCCTGCTGGGTTACCCTGTTCAGGATAAACTCTCCCTTCCCAATTTATGGAAGGGAAATGTTGTAAATGCTGAAACAAAAAAGTCCATGTTTTTAGGGAAGTTCACTGTTTCCACATGAACTGTGGATTATCTGCAGCATATTGCAAAATAAGCGTATGGGATGAAAGTTGTGTTTAAGCTGCCACTTCAATGGAGAAGCTGAAATGTCAAAGTAAAATGAATTAAGAATTAATAGAATAGAATTAAGGTCTTTAAAAGGAAGTACTTCATCTCAAATTGTTGATCTAACAGAAGTTTTCAAACTATAGATGCACTGAACTCTTGTGCACCGAAACTTTTGAGATCAGATTTTCTCATGGATAAACCTCTAGAGAGAAACCTGAGTGTGACCCACATACACACGTGTACAAGTCTGTCTGGTCCAGAGTGCAACCACAATCTGGTACCACGGAGAAAACATGATTGAGATTGGCCACAGGAATCGTTACCTGAGTCCTGGGAAGCACTTCAGGGTCAGCTGGGATCCTGCCCAGGATTTCACAGAGGACAATGCCAAAGGAAAACACATCCACCTGCAGGAGAGGTGAAAGAGTGGGAGATGGGACAGAACATGCACAGAAGCAAAGCATGAGAAAGAGGAGTACCAACAACAAGGTCCTCCAAAAAAACCCCACAAACACTGGAGATGAAGGCAGCAAACTCCTAAACTTCTGGCCTTCTGAACCCACACAGAAAGACCTCATCTTTAGAAAGCCTGCCCCATGCTCTTGTTCAATATGTCTGGTGTTTCTACCACAGCTCTGGCACCCACCCCAGATCCTGCAACAGGCTCATCAGGCTGTAACTCATCAAGCATATTCCTCAGAGAGGCTTAACTGTGTTTGTCCACAGTGGCAGTCCATTTCCCTAAAAGTTTAATTTAACAAGGCCACATAAGGAACGTGCAAGTTGCTAAGTAAAACATTTCTGAGTAAAGGTCCAGGTAGCAGAGGCAGCGTTTCCCAGGGAAGGGAGGCAAGGGCTTTTCTGCTGTTGAGACATGTCACCAGCAAGCAGAAGAGAAATCTCCCACATTCACTCAGGGGCTCTGGGAATGAACAAAGACCTGGAAGCAGTTGCCATACCTTCCGGTCATAGGGCTCTCCCCGCAGCATCTCAGGAGCCATCCAGAAAGCAGAGCCCACCAGAGACAGCTTCCTCTCTGCATCCTTCACAGGCAGCTCCACCACCTCCCTGGCCAGTCCAAAGTCAGTCACCAGCGCCTCATGGCCCCGCGGCGTCACTCGAATAAGGCAGTTCTAAAAGGAGCCCATGGGACATGGCATGACATGCCTGGTGAGGAAGGGCCTGGACACTTCACTGAGCAGCATCTCACCAGCCCTCGGCCCAACCTTGCCATTGCAGGCTCTCCCCTCTCCAGAGACCTGCATCCCAGCAGCAAAAATGGAGTGCACGGAGCAGATATGGGATGAATGAATCACATCTGAAGCCAGGGAAGATTCTTGGAAGAAGATATTCAACAAACATGATGATCCACATCCTTTTATCTGAAGGAGACCTCAAAATCTTGCATGCTGACCCTGTTCAGCTGTGGCAGCATCAAGCCACAGCGCTTCTCATTGCCCATGGCTATACATCCCTAACACTGCTTTCTGGAGGAATTCCATAAGGTTTCCCAAAACCCCAGCAGTTTCAGCCTGATGAGGATTTCCTCCTCAGCGTCTGCTCCCAGGGAACTAGCTTTCTGCAGATGGCTCTCACTAGAGAACTGGATTTCAGGTAAGCATGTACACACATCTCTCCCCTATCTTCAGCCATCATCACTGCAGGTTTCTTAGGTTTCCCTGGGAAGGACGAACCTCTTTCAGGGGTTCCACCACAGCAAGACAGAAAGGACAGGCAGGGACCTCCACCACTTTCTACAAGCAGATGTGGGAAGCTCCTGAGCTCACCAGTCACCACCAAATAGGAAATTACATCTCACCTGACTTCAGAGCACACTGGCCAAGAAACCTGCGGTCAGAGTGAACCACGTTCTTGCCTTGTCCTCAGCCTGGTAACTGAGCCAAGTAAACAACCTGAGAATACAGAGGTGAGTTTTATTCCTGTGCTGGTGTCTCTCAAAACTGTATCACTTGACTGGCTTCCCCACTGCCGATCTTCATCCGTATTTCAAGTTTTTCTTAAAAATCTCACTGAGCACCAACAAAAACGGCTGTAAGAGATACAACACTACCTACCCAGCATCAATTGCAAGGACTTGCAGGCTCCATTTCAGTGAATCACCAAGCAAGCTTCCAGCATCAGCTGAGACAGACATGATCCAGGTTGGTGGTCAACCCCTCAGCTCACATTCCCTGTGGTATCATGATCTACCATAGGGTACAGACCTACCTGAGGTTTCGGTAGTTTATCCAAGACAGATCAACAAGGCACTGTCCCACCATACAAGCGGCAGAAGAAGAGCCACATCAAAGCCCATCACCATGAACAAACCTTACAATGGCATACCACAGTGCTTGTTCCTGCCCCCATCAAGCAGCATGAGCCCATGCTGAGAGAAGCAGCCACTCAGGCACAGGGCTAATACATCAGGAACATGATGTACCTCTATGTTACACCCAAAGCCTGCCTCCAGATGCCAGTCTGCACAGTTAGTGAGACCCATGGAGGTGACCATCCTAAAACTGGTGATGTAGACCCACTGGATCAAGGAAGAACAACTTCTCTGCACTTGAGGAGATAGATACACTTCTCCTGAGCTCTGCTGGTGCTCTGCACACAGACAGGTACCATCTCACGTAGCATTCGTTTCCAGAGCCTGTGACCAGCTCCTGTTAGCAACAACTTCCCCTTTTCTGTGAGCAGGAAAGGAAATCTCTAAATCTGGAAGAGCTGTAGGCAAAGAAAACCATGTGCAATCCTGCACACATTTCCATCTGGTTTCTTTTCTGAAAGCAACTGCACTAGGAGTAATTATTTTTATGTCTATCTGGGTGTCCTGCTTGCCAAGTGATGAATGCAAGGTAATGATGGGTTCTATCAAGAAAGCTTCCTTGCCTGCAGAGGGATTAGCATGGAGCAGAGGATCAGTGTGAGGCCTCATGGTTACAGCCCTAAAGGGTCCTCTACACAATCAACTTCAGCAGTCCAGAGGAGATGTCCCCTTTCCAGTGCATACCTTGGAGTTGAGATCTCGGTGGTAGATGTTCTTGGAGTGCAGGTAGATCATGCCTCTGGTGATGTCAGAAGCTAAGTCCACTTTTTCCTTCCAAGTCAAAGCAATGTCTTTGCAGGCCAGGAGCTCCTCCAGGCAACCCCCATTCACATACTGTGGAACAGAGGCAAAAAGCAGTGGCTGTGTGGTCAGGCACAAGCTCTGCTGGAGCTCCCAGGAACCCCTCCTTCAGGTTGAAGCTTGGGAATACCACTGTGTGCAGGGGCCCCTGTGTGTGGTATGGTGCAAATACCCCTCCTGGAACAAGTAGTCACTACACATCTCTGGGCTCTGCCCCACTCCAGGGACACTGTACAAGCCAGATGCAGTTCTCACTCACAGGCAGAAAACTAGAGGCAAAAAGCCTAGCAGCAGCTCAGTGAATGCCTTCTGCCACCAACAGCATAGGAACAAGGTGAGACCTCCCCAGTACCAGCCCAGGCTTGTCCATTAGACCACACCACCATTCCAGAGCCACTCTGGAGGTTCTGCCACTGTCTGCTTGACTTTCTACTCCTGGCTCCTCTTCTCCCTGCCATCTGGCCCATTCTGGCCCTTTGGTGGTACCAATCCAACCTGACACACTTTTTGGTTATCCTGCTTGAATCTCATGGCCCTGCAGTGACTCTGAACAGCTGTGGGGGAGAAAGGACCAGAAGCTCCTCCAAGGCAATCTTGCTCATCCAGAGCCATTCACAGGCACGCGAGTTGAAGAGGTGTAGATATGCATTAGAGGATATCTGCCATCCCCCCTGCCAAAGAATCGCAGGGTCGTTGCCTGCTCACAGCACACTCACAAGCTAGAAACCTTTACCTCCAGAATTGGGTACAGCTTGTCATCCTTCACACATATCCCAAGGTACCTAAGCAGAACACACCAAAAAAAGAAAAGCAAAGAAGCCATCAAGGTCCAGCTCAATCCCTCATTGCAGAACTGCCTTAGAGACACCAACCCAACTCCAGCCCCAAGCAGTGCCCACTGCTCATGGCTGGAGGATGTGCCCACCTGACGATGTTGGGGTGGGACAGCTTCTGTAGCAGGCTGATCTCACGTACAATCACCTCTTGATCCACGTCATTCTTGTAGATCTTCACCACCATTACTTTAGAAGCAGCAGCCTGGGTCACCTGGAGCCAAATTTGGAGCAAGACACCTCATAGCTTCCAGAGGTCTGCCAGCCCCTCTAGACAACAGCATCCAGTCCCAACCAAAGGCTTGAATCTCATTTCCCTGCTGCCCAGAGCTTTTGCTGTTATTTGCACAAGTGCAAGGTGCTGTCCCTTCCACATAGGCTCCACTCCAGTGACACCTGCTTGGGTGGCTGAGAACAGCTACATCCCTCTTGTCCCAACACAACACTATTTCTCTGCCAAAATTTGTGGGTTCTTGGGCTCTTTGGAGGAGTTTCTCAGCCCACCCTCGGTTACCACAGAGCTGTTCTTCTCCCCTCTAATGCCTTGATTCAGTGTCCTTTCCCAAGCACAGCCTGCCCCCACATCTCCATCCCTCCTTCCTACCTGGGCCTTATCAGTGCACCAGGCTGCTGGCCACACTCCCCATCCCCAGTTCCTCCTGCACCCCTACCCATGGCCTTCCACCCAGGCTCTGCCAGACAGACCCAACAAAGGAAGCACAGTCAGCTCATCTCTCTCCCACATCACAGGACGGAGGCCCAATGTCTGCTTCCCAGCCACATGCTAACCTGAACCTCTGCTATGGAATACCACCAGACATTTCATTCCTAGAGTTTCCCCCACTCAGGAATACTGGAAGCGAAAGAGCAGCAATCAAAATGCTTTTCCCCCACCTTAAAACACTAAACAGACTGAGAAGGCATTTTAGGAGGAAATTTGTTGTCCCCTGTGGAGGCACCAGGGCTGGACAGTACTGAATGCAGGGATTTCATGCAGAGGTCCTGTGGCTCTCAGCCCTGAGAGGACCATCCAGGGCCCCTGTACAACAGCTGATGTTATCCGGGTTGACAATCCAAACAGCAGTTTACAGACTACATGGCAGAGCACTGTGGTACTTCAACATTTCCATTCTCAATTAAAACAGATGCTGTTTTAAGGAACACCGATGTATCAGATGTGGCCCACAGTGATGTCCTGGCAGCTCCCCCAGGGGTAGCAGAGAATCAAGCCACATGTCTAATTTTCTCTCATTTTGATGTTTGTGGGGTTTTGTTTGTTTAAGGGAAAAATATTTAGACACAGCATGAGCTGGCTTAAGAGCAGCACTCTGAGTCCCAGAGTGTCACTCTCTGTGATGGATCACTTTACAGATAAGGTTACTAACTCAGTTGAGGGGAACAAAGAGCAGCATGTTAGACTTACCTGGGCTGGAAGGACAGAAAGGGTCATTATAATCAGGGTCACAAAACAAAGCATCATGAACTACTGCTTCATTTCTGAGGGAACTCGACCTGATAGTCAATGTTATCGCTGAAATAATTCCACCTCTCTACTTGAGCAGGTCATAAGGAAGCCAGAGGTATGAACCCCTCACCTGATGGGACTTCATAACCACAGACTGTGGATCACTAACCAGATGTAAATATAAAAGATGCTATCAATCATTTCTGCCCAAAGACTGTGAGTGTCCTTATGCCCAGCACAGAGTACAGGGAGCATCTGAAATCTGGAAGATCTGAAAAACTTTCAGAAGAGCTAATACTGAGTTTCAGCGAGACTTACTATGCACAAACTCTGGTAGAGACTCTGAGCTACATTCAGCTTTTAGGTGAGGTTGTATGTCCCAGCTGGACACCAGTGGAGTTCATAATTACTCTGCCCAAGCTGGTGGAGTCAGTGAGCACTGGAGGGGTTCCTGTCCACAGGACAACGTAAAGTCCAGCCTGGACTGAAAAAGAAATGACTGAAAAGCAAGGGTAGACCTACACCCCAAAACCAGCAGTGGGAGAAATAGGCAATGGGCAAAAGGTAATGGGCTCAGAAGGCCTCTTCCAAGACCACATATATTCAAATATAAATAGTTCCTTATTGCACATCAGAAAACTAAGGCAGAGAAAGAGGGAAAGCACCTTGTGCCCAGGTCATGCAATACATAACCCACAGAGCAGAAGGCTGTACGAAGACCTCTTGAGTTTGAGTCACCAAGCAGAACCAAGTGAATTCTCCTTCCTCAGCCAAGCCACATGTAACTCCTGAGAATGGGCTTACCCAAAGTAAAAAAGACAGCAAAAGCAACAGGCAGCCAGCACAGGCAGCACCAGCACTGCAGGGAATCTATGTTCTTCCTGAGAGAGCACTTTGGAAGACACCATCTGTTGGCAAAGAGCTTCAAAGGACCATGGCCAGTGACGCTTCACAGCAGGAGTTCTGGTGTTCAGGGCTATGAGTCCAGAGGGGAGTGGATGACCCAAGAGGACCACAAGACATCAGACCACTTGCTTATGGCCATACTTGAGTACCCAGACAAATGTCAAGTCCCCACAAAGGACTGTCCTTGTCCCACTGTCTTTTTGACTATTTGACCCATAGCATTTCATTCAAACTTTATTTTTTTTACATTTCTTTTTCTGCTTCTGATTCAAGAAATTATTTCATTTTCATTCAAGATCACGTCTTCAGCCTGCCTACTGCTGGAATTTCATTCACTACCAGGGCAGGAGGAAACTGTCATGCACAGAGGAAACAGCAACTGTTACTATGAAAATCTGCTAGATAAAGGAGAGAGAAAGTGATAGCGACAGCATGTTGTGTAGGTGGGGAAAAAAAGTACTAGAAGGAGGCTGTGGTGGGAAGAGGTATTTGTCATGTATTGCTCTAGTATGCAAAGAACTGCCACAGACCTTTGTCTGGAGATTTCCCTTGAACAGCTTTAGCGCACTGTCCCAGGACCTGGCAAAGCAACACAACATCTGCTTTTAAGAGATGATGGTCGAGTCTTACTTCCTAATGTGAAGCACCTCCTTTCACTTTGCTGTGGATAAAGCCAAGGGCAACAGGAAAAAGAGACCCAAGTCCCATCCACTACCCCTAATGAAGCAGTGGCACTCCCAGGCTGAGGAGTGAAGCTAGCAGCACCCTGGATCCTGTGCTTGCTCAGAGAGGGTTAAACAAACTCCCACACAAATAGAACTTGGTGCAGGGAGGAACTTGACAGTCCCAGTGAGAAAAGCAGTTTTATTTTGATGACACAACAGCCTGCGCTGGCTTGCAGGGAACCATGAGTCTCCTGACACTAAGGCAGCAGAGGCAGAAGCAGATGGACCAGCAGCCTCTCCTAGCTTGACACTGCCCCAGGCCTCCTGCTCTTCCTCAGCATCACCATATCACAGGGCAGCAGCTGGGAAGGGGTGACAGTGCTGGCATCTCCACAGCTTGTGGGCGGTGGGTCTTCTGGGAGACACACAGAGCTTAATTTTATGTTCTTTTTCTCTATATATTTTGCTACAGTTCTGGTAACAAAACAGAGAGCGTAAGTATCCCCTAATCTCATCCAATACCCAGATTAGCTCCCTGACAAGCGTGTTGTATGGCAAGGCAACAGTATCAGTGAACACTGACTGACCAGGTCCTCCTATCTCCTTTTTCACTATGAAAGGGGAGATGGGCATCAAAGGCAATGTGCTCTGTGTGCAGAGGGGTTGTCCCTTCCTCCCTCACCTCATCCAAGCTGCTAGAGAATGCTGGGAGGGATGAAGACAAGGAAATAAGTTTGGGAACAGATTTGTCAGGTAAGGCACTATCTACACAGCCTCAGCAGCTGCTCTTACACAAGGTCGTGGGCTGTCAGCATGTCAGTTTACCTTGTAGACCCTGGAGAAGAAGCCACTGCCTATCAGCTCGACGTTGAAGTTTTCCCAGAACTCCAGCTTCCTGACAGCTGCGCGCAGCCTCTGCCAGCGGTCCACATGGTAGTAGGTGTCAGACGGTTCACCACAGCACTGCATGAGGCCAGAGGGCTCTGGTGCGATCAGCCCCGCTTCACACATCATGGTGGCAGCAGCTAAAACACAGTGTGTTTCACAGTAAGCCAAGAGCGGTATTTGAACATCAAACAAATACCTGCATTAGAGACCAGGCCTTGATGAAGCCTCAGGAAATGAGGGAAAGTAGATGAGGCACTGAGATGATGCACCCTGCAGCACATATTGCACCAGAACCCACTGGAGTTAGGCCTGCCTTATGCAGGTCGTATTCAGATTTCTTTAGACTAGGACTTAAAGATGTTAAATCAGCATATAACTTCTTATACCTCCTGAAGGTTTACAGCAGGTTGGATGCATCACCTTCCAGACATGATAGTGCAGCCCAGGAAAAGTCTAGAGGTCTTGGTCTTGCTCAGCCAGCTTATGTTGGGTTAAAAGCCACTGTGTCTAAACTGGGCTTTCAGTATAGGTCACATGCCACATACAAATGCCAAACCCATTCCCACAGAACTCTAGACAGGACTTAGCTACTATTGCAAACAGAGGGTCATGACTTGAGTGTGCTAGCAGGAAACAGTCTTAGAAGGGTCCTCACTTTGGCAGGTGCCTACAGTTCCTTATAAGCCCTAAAGAATCACAGAACAAGGAAATGCCCCAGCAACCCTCCTGCTGTCTGTGTCCCGAATTTGACTCCAAGTGCCTCTGCTGAACTGTCTTCCTCTTACACTGCTCTGTTTCTCACACTTCCCTCTCCAGTCACCTCATGCTGATCCCCTTCCTGCCTTATATAGCACCAGACTCACGCTCCTCCAAAGCCATAAGCCATTCTTCTCCTTCTCTCACATTACTTGCCTCTAATTACTTCCAAAATGCAGAGGAGGCAAATCCAGTGGAAAAAGGGCTTCCATCACCCTGAGGGGGGTGAATAAGGCACCGCTTCCATATAATTGTAACCAACCACTGGTACACTACAAAGCTGTCTGAACACCTGCCACTGGCAGCATGTGCTGATTCCTGCGGCTCCAGCAAACTGCTTTACCAGACTGTGACCAGGTGAGACAACAGTCAACAAAGAGCAATTTTTCAATGCTTCCAGCTGAAGCAAAGGTAAGCTCTGCTCTCCCTAAGCTTCTGCCCTAGGTCTTGCACCAAACAAGGAGCTCTATCAGCATTCTGTGGATCATTTCATGGCTACTTTGCTTCTACAGGGAAAGGCAAAATTTCCTAGAATCATAACATCCTAGAACAGTTTGGGCTGTTAGCGACTTTAAAGCACATCCAGCTCCAACCCCCTGCCACAGGCAGGGATACTGTCCACTAGACCAGGTTGCTCCAAGCCCAGTCCAACCAGGCCGTATGTGGCCTTAGACATAGATCTCCGAAAGTCCTGGGCAACACACCAGGGGTTGGGGCTTTTTAACTATTAATTTGCACTAATAATATTAATAACATTGGTGTTAATATTAATAATATTATTAATTTCCATTGAGACATGCATAAAATGTTTACACCAGCTACCTCATCCCCCCACAGTCCACCCAAGATCCGGAGAGCTGCCAAACAAACAGGCTCATGCAGAAGCAGGAGACAGTGAAACAGGGAATTGTAGGTTAGGTAATCATTAAGTTGTAACATGTTTTATAAAGAAGCTTTGTGACTTGTTACAAATGGCAGTTCCTGAAATCAGCAAGGACTAGATAAAATTAGCAGTTTCTCACAAGAAATAGTTCCTAACTGGCTGAAGCTGAACTTCAGCATGCGCAAAACCAAGGGGTGAAGAGTGCACGGTGAGGAAGACCTATGGCCTTCATCCTCTATGACCGTAAAAGACCACCACCAGGAGACACTGCACAGGCGCAAGGAAGAGGAGCCCTAATTTTCATACGAAGCGGGGACAGGTCATACATATGTACAGGCGTATTAGGAAATCTCATGTATATGCAACAGTTACTGTATAAATTTAGAGCAAATTGTCACGCCAGGTGCACACGGCTTTGGAGGGACGACTCCCCGTGCTGCCCAGCGCTGAATAAACATACCTACTTTACAATCTTACAGAATGTGGAGTCTGCTTTTCGCACGTCAACAGTACTCATCAATCACACTCAGCGCTGCACCAACGGCACTACATTCCCACAAGGATGGTACCTCTGCAAGGACCATTCTGCAAGGATATCTGGTGTACAAAATGGCCCAGCTCCAGCAGAGCTCTTGGGAGATGGATGCAGCAGGGCAAGGCTCTGGGTGCACGAGCCTGGTGGCAGGGTGCAGCAAAGGGCTCTTATTGCCCAAGGCCGTGCTCAGTGTGTAGGGCCATGGCACAGGAGGGCAGACACAGGAGGTGCTGCAGCTCCAGGCCAAGCAAAGTGGTACTTCATGCTCAGTTGGCAAGACACAGAGGAACTCCTCTGCATCCTGCACAACTGACCAGGACATAATGCTAACAGCTGATCTAACTGATCCTGCTGACCCCAAGCCACCAATGCACTCTCAGCATTTACCCACTCCGGCTCCCAATCCTGAAACACAGGTTTGCCCTCTCCTGTTGTGTGAATGGCTAAACAGTACCACAGTGACCTACAGCTTCACTCCAGAGGTGTGGCAGAGCTGCAGTGAGCATCCCCAACGGCTGCTTTAGCTACCAGAGACACATTTACCCAGCAGGCTCTGAAAGCCTCTCCCTCCACTTTAGCACCTTTCAGTCACAAAGGAAAAAGGAGCCGTTCCCACCAGAGCAGCAGACCTGACCCCAGACACCCTGGAGCCCCTCTTGCCTGCAGGGTGACCCACAGGTACCCTTGGCCAAGGCAGGCTGCCTGAGGCTGCCTCTTCCACAGGGAATGGTTTCCTTTTCAGAGGCCTCTCTGTTCAGTGCTTTTCCCATGTACCATCTCCTCCGGCCAGGACCTAGTTCCTCAACTGCCTCTTTGTCCAGTAAAGAATCCCTGCAGCATCCCCAGCACGCCAGGAATGGCCCCTCACGTTATGCTGCTGAGTGGGAGCAAAGTCTTTATTTTTATTTATAAATGTGGCTGTTTCGTCCCCAGATTAGTGCTGACACACAGGCTGGGGGGAAAAAATGGCCTTTCAAAATGCCAAGATTTATTTGAAGGCTTCCTAGGAGCTGTGGAGAAGGACAGGGAGCAGGAAGGGCAGTCTTCGGGGACAGCCTGCAGACCTGGACAGCAGGCAGGGCACATTCTCGCGTCACCAGCAAGGTTTACAGCACCCAAAGCCCTGCTTATATCTGAGCAGGCAAAGCATCTGGGCAGCTGCCCATATCTCCAGCGCTCCCAGATCGAACTCAACCCACAGGGAGGACACAGGCTCGGGCACAGGAGGATGCTCATCCCCTTTGAGGCTGCCCTGCCTTAAGGGAAAGGAGAGACAGAGTCACTGGCTTTCACCACCTTCTGGGGAAACTGTTCATGTTCTCAAGCTTTCCGCTGCTGCCTCTGTACACAGCAGCCAATACGTACCTCCCAGCTCCTCAGGGTGGCAAGAAGCACCAAGGAAGCAGCTCACAGGCAGCCTGGAAATGTTTGGATGCTGCAAGCTGTCACTGCAGGGAACACACTCCTTGACAGACTGAAAACATTAAATTAGCAGACACTTTGAAAAGCAGCTCTGGGATACCTTCTTCCTCTGGTCTTTCCTCATTGCAAACACCAGAGGTACCTGCTGCAGGGAATTTCCTCCCCTGGTCTGGCTCCCCAGCAGGGCTCACTGCCCCACCACGGCAAGGCTCCAGCCCTGGCAGGGCTGGCAGAGACCCTCAAGAAGCCTGTGCATGCACCCTGCGAGGGCGATCACAGCCACAAGCGTGGCTCCAGCCTCACCACCACAGCTGGCTCCAGCCGGGGAAGGGCCTGGCAGGAGCAGGCAGGCACTGGGGTGTTTGTTCTGTCTGTTCAGCAATGCAGCACCCACAGCTCTCAAGTAAACCACCTCCCAACAGACAGTAACCCCAGACAGCCCCAAGCAACTGCCCAGGCCCTGCTGTGAAGATACAAAGCCCAAGCTTCAAAGCCCTCTTCTAAACAGCCAATTTTCCTGAAGAAAATAGGGCAGAATAGGCTCTTCCTCGCCTCACCCGCTGGACAGCCAACCTCCCTTCCCAGCCACCGTTTCCCACCACCAGGAAAGCAGAATGCTTCTCCCCAGCCTCCTCTGCCAGTATGTTGGAGGTTGGACTGGGCAAAGAGACCTCCCTGGACCAGGAAGCCCAGTGTCTGATGGCTGGAGCTTTCCCCTCAGGAGCAGCATATAACAGCTTATCTAGAGCTTACTAACATGCCACACAAGAACCTTCTGTGATCAGAGATCAAAATATCTTTGCCAGGACAGCAGGGTGCCAGCACTGGGGTCTAAAACAGGGGAACCCACCCTCCTGGTGGGCAGGGGGCGTGTGCTCCAACTGTTTATGTGTGCATGCATGCACACTTGTGCATGATTTGGGGGGACCAGATACAGAAGAATGTTCAGAAATCTGTAGGTACTCATCAACATTCTGTAAGCATCTAGCACTGGGGTTTAGCTGATGAGTTGCTGATAACGATCCTGATGCTTCACTGATGGCCAGTTGATTACATCTCATCAATAAATCAGAAAATCACTTCAGTCCCCACATGGTTTAAACCACAGGAGTTGAGTAGTCTTCTCTTGCAGCAGAGGTGACCATGAGGTGCATGGGAAACGTTCCTACAGCCCTCTCCATCATGCCCTCCCTGTGCTTGGCTCACCCAGATGGAGAGGTGGGTGCTCCTCAGCTCCTCCAGAAAACAGTGGTAACATTAGATGAGATCATCTATCTAAGCCAGATGAACAAAACACCTCAGTAGAGTTACTCAGCCTTTACCTCTGTCAATAGAAATTGACTTCCTTCCATTCTGGCTTTTTCACACAGACAGCAAACCTTCTTGTAGTATAAGAACAATGTAGTAAGTCAAGCAAAACCAAAGTGGATTTGCTGACCAATACTACTACGCTGCTGATCCCTAAGAATACGTTATCAGTATTTTTGAGTTCTTGACCCACAGGAAAAAGAATTTCCCAAATACTCC